TACATAATAAAAATGTTGAAATGAAGTTTTAAAATAGAAAATTTTTTGATTTTTTAATCGAAATTTGTTCTTCGAACACATGTTATTAAGTCATGAAGCATTCAAATTTCATTTCTTAGAAGGCTTTTGACAACATATTGTTAAAGTGATCGAATTTTAGCCAGGTGTACGCATGTATGTGAACTGTCACATTCATATTGAAACTTTGAAATCGTGGCAAATCATACGAATAAGTCATTGATGATAAGTGCAAAAAGTGTCTTTTTTTTCCTACAAAAAGAATCGTAATTTTGCAACTATAAATCAAAATTTACTTCGTTGAAGCTTAATTAAAAAATTATCCAAACGCGTATTTGATTGTAAGCTGTAGTACATAAATGGAGCTTGAATTTAAAGATATTGTTTTAATCACATCTATCTCTTCGAAAACTTTACTTTTTAAAATTAAGACATAATTAAAAAATACACTTTATCATAAAAATTAAAAATTGAAGTAATTTTTAAAGAAAAAAAACAATCAAGAGTAACTTTCTATTAGTACTAATAGGATTAGAAAAATATGTAAATTACCTTTATTCTCATGTAATTTTCTAGCAAAAAAATGAACAGTTTTTTCCATTTGTAATTATAAAATGGTGATATAAAGTAAAGAAAAAAGGGGAATATTTTCCACATTAAAAAAAAAATGGAGAAATTTCTTTCGAACTTTGAAGAAATGCTGTAGATTAGAAACAGCTATCGGCAACATCAAAGTAAAAATGAATCCAGAGATTAGTTTTCGTTTTTGCCTTAAGGTCTGACAAACCTGCAACTTATTTTTTGAGTTTGTTCATTTATTTTATTTATTTTTATTTTTATAGAATCCAACGAAAAATAGGGGACGTCGAATATTACGTAGTTGCAAAGAGAATATACGGCAAATGGAAAGAATTGGCACGTTTTCTGCCGCCAAGTAAGTCTGATACGTCATCGACCATATTTATGATAGTTAAAAACGCAATTTTATTATTTAAGAACGAAAAATTATTACATCTTTGTTACGTTCTTCCTTAAAATACGAAATATTTAATGTTTCTGGCATAGGAAATGTATTTACGGAAGGAGAATTAACAATACTGCAAAGTGATAACAAAGATAATCTGGAGGAGACAATCGTACGGATGCTAAGTACATGGAAAGAAAAGCATCCAGATTTAGCCACTGTTGGCCATCTTGCCAAAACTCTTCTGTCCTTAGAAAGAGCAGACATTACAATACAATTACATCCATAATATTCACAAAGAAACTCGTAATGAATATTTTATTGTGAATACTTTTTAATAATAATAATAATGCCTTCACGAAAAAAAATTAGTATTTAAGAAAACAAATAAATGTTACATGTTAATAAATAAATAAATGATTGTTTGATTTTATACTTTAATTACATCACATAAAGAAATGAAAATATTAGTTATTTAATGTAAATTTTAGCTTTACGCGTACAATTTTAAAATAAAATTTTATATTTTGCTAGATAAAAACCACCGAACACACTACCCTGGTCATGGACTCGTGCCTCATCAATGGGCTGGCTAACATATAATTTTCCGGGTTTTTACACGTGTTTAATTCTCAAATAAGATCCCTGATTTGCGAAAAATTACAGACTGTTTTTTATTAATTTAAATTATTCAGAGTTGTTATTTTAATCATTGGCTTTCTATCGGTTCTGACCAGAGTCGCCTCTCCGATTAACTATACACTGTACTTCCGGTCTGCACCGGAATACACGTGATTTCCATTGCGGAAACTACCTTACTATATAAAGCTATAAATTTGGTGTAGAATTGATCCTTATGATAATTCAAATAAAAAAAAAGTAGTCTAGTAACGAGTTGCGTAACTTTCTCGACTGTTATGAGTTTTTATTTAAAAAATAACTTTTATATTATTAAACAAAATATATAAAATTTCGAGTGTACGGATGAGTTTTATTTAAAAAAGTGTAAATGTTAATAACGAATAAAATNTTAAATAAATTTGATTTCCTCTCTAAACCTATTATAATTACTATTATACGTTATTATAAACTTGAATCGTTATGTATGTTCGTTTTCAATATTTGTGTTTAGAAAAAAATCCAGCAACGAGTTGCTTAACTTTTCCGGCTGTTATGAGTTTTTATTTAAAAAATAACTTTTATATTATTAAACAAAATATATAAAATTTCGAGTGTACGGATGAGTTTTATTTAAAAAAAGTGTAAATGTTAATAACGAATAAAATCTTCATTAAATCCTACCCCTCTCGAGGTAT